GCGGTTCACCTGATGTTACATGATAACCGCCGCCCCATTGTAACACCCGAAGGGTTACCAAATGTGTTGCCACCTTCTATTAAAGTGGACCCGGCTATCTTACTCACCAGACGAAACGCTGAAGTGTAACACTTCTACTTCACACCGATTCAATTCTATACATACAATTCTGATCATTTTGATTATATACTTGTTCAGAAGACACATTAAACCTTACAAAACGGCGCAAATAAAGTCTACTAAGTTCAATTTTTAAATTATGGAATTTATTAAAATAAAACCGTCCGACTTCAAAAAACTATTTTGCCACAGCCTCACAAGAATAGACAAATCGAAGTTCTTTAATTATATTATCTATACCATGTGCAATAGTTATTTTTACTACCATATAACAATAATTATAACTTTTTAATAATTGGTAATATTATGATTACATAAAGCTGACAGCTTTACTTTCATGTATACATTTATATAGATGTGTCTAACAAAAATTTTACCTTTATCAGATGAATCACATCCTTACAGCTAAAGCAAGGTTTACTTTTTTTGATAATGTTATTGTACGTAAGTGCTCAAATATGAGTTGAGAAAACATAAAACTACTTACGTCTTGTGACGAACAAATGTTTATTTTGTAACTAAACGAGGTGTGTGTGGTGTAGATAGGAAAGCTTTTCGCGGTTACAATGGAATAAAAGAACAAACGGAGTAAGTCGAACCATGTAAGCAAACGAAGATGTTAGCAAATATTCACACTCACTTGGGTAGTAATGTTTTAACGTGTATCTTTATGTTATCAGACAAGCGAGCAAAATTATCTTTATTACGGGAAGTATGTAAAAATGTGTATAATGAACGATTTCTCTATACAACCCAGAAGAAGGCATCTAAATTATCGCTACCTGTAGGTACTAAGGTTCTTAACTTGTATGTTTTCCTGGTAAGGGAAACACATTTGAATACTTAAGACATTTAATAACCACCTATTCAGCTCGCAATACAAAACGTATATCATGCTCTTGCTATAACACCATTGATGTGCAAACAAAAACAGAGAAGAAATACATTTCCACGAAAGAAATAGTTCCGATTTATTTAGTGTAGATAAGTTTTTTTTTCGACCTGACACCAAGATAGTATAATACTGATTTGTAATGTTTGTATTTATGACGTTGTATTAAGCAAATGAATATTTTAAAACCTAGGTCCACCAAATTTACACTAATTAGCAATCAACAAATCAATGATGTGCTAGGTAAATTCTAAAACAGCTTCAGACTACTCAGAATTACATAGTTCACTCTAGTAAAACGCGCGTGTGATCTTCCGTCTCAGCGAAACTGAAAAAGTTAATTGAAAAGTTGAAGGTACAAATGAAATATAATTAGGGATATAAAGTAATTTAATTGGATTTAGTATATGCCATAAATATGCTATATAAAAAGGTATATTAAGTGAATTATTTGAAGTCGGTTTTAGTTTTTGTTAATAAATTACTACTTATGAACTAATTACTATTACTTGTTGTATAAGACGTTGAAAGAGAACAGTTTCTGCGAAATTAACAATACGAAAATGATAGGGAAAAAATTCATAGATGTACTAAGGCGACAAAATTTCCGTAATAACCCTAAAGTTCAAGCTTAGCTTTTGAATTTGTTTGCTATAAGAGTACCCATCTGTCGCTCCGTCCGTTTTTGTATCAAAAAGACAAAAATTACAATAAGCAAATACGGCATTCAACATATTCGCCGTAAGAACACTTATTTGATGTACCTAACACAAAAAAGGGAAGTGGTACACAAACGACGACCGATTTGCGTTGTGGATAGTGTACCTGTATTTTGCATCAGAGTGGGTTCGATCCCCACTACTGGAAAAATATTGTGTGGTGAACAGTGTTTTCAAGTGTATGTGTGTGTTTTTTATATAATATGTATTTACTTACAAAATTAAAGTATGTTCAAGTATGTTTACAGTTACCTAGTATCCATAGTACCTACGAATCGCTTAGCTTGGTACTAGATAGCGTTGTATAAATATGTCCTGAATTATTTATTTATTTATTTAATACGCTTACAAGCAATTTATAAAAAGAGGAAAAGGAAAAGAATCTTTTAAACTAATGTTCCTCTGTAGTCCAGTTTAAAAGTTATTTATGTATTTAAAAACTTTATGCACAATAGGGTACAATGGTGGACTTAAAACCATTAGGCGTTCTCTACCAGTTAACCACAAATAAATAGAGAAAATAAGAAGGTTATTTTTATAGGCATGTTATGTTTTTAAGGGCTCAAGTATCTTTTTACAAATAAGCTTTCTTACGTCGATTAAAATCTTAGTGCGAAAAGATATCATCAGCATACGGTCAGAAGGGCCCGTTTAAATCACGGCTGTGTCGGGAGCAGTAAATCATAAATTCCTACTATTTGAGGCAAACGTTCCAGTAATAATCTAGTGTTAGTTTTTTTAATGTGAAAAGTTGCCAAGCGAGCAAACAGTTCACCTGATGTTAAGTGAATGTATACCGCCGCCCATAGACATCTCCTACACCTGAGGGTTGCAAATGCGTTGACAACCTTTTAAAAATTGGGCTCCGGCCACCTCACTCACCAGACGAAACGCGAAAGTATTATACTTCCACTTTACGCCGGTCTTCTGTGAGGTCGTGGTACGCCGTGGCCACGCAACAGCCGAGGCTGCTGCGTGGCCCTACCACCGTGTCAGTGACTGCCAGTGGCAATTAGCGAGTCTTAAACTGCACCGCACCAAGGGCACATACGTCTTCACTGAATTTTCACAAGGTATGTATTCTTTCACCTTTCGCTTTCAACTACCTGCTGCAAAAGCCTTCATCGGAAAATTGCTTTTTCGGCCAACGACCCAATTGACGTAGTGGGTAGTAGACCAGCTTCTTACGCCATGTGTGGGTTCGATCGCCACTACTGGAAAAATATTGTGTGGTGAACGTCATGTTTTCGCAGTGTCTGGGTGTTTATGTATGTGTAATATGTATTTATTTACTAAAGAAAAATATATTTAAGTAGGCTTATCAGTTATTTAGTACCCGAAGTACAAGCGTGGCATAGTTTGAGACTAGAAAAAACCGGCCAAATGCCAGTCGGACTCGCGCTGGTTGGGTTCCATACTATTATCTATAAGAACGGGGAAAAATCATGTCGGTTGTATGGGAGCCCCACTTAAAGATTTTTCTATTCAGTTTTTTAGTATTTGTTATTGTAGCGGCTCATTGTTCATGAGATTCAGACGGGTAACAGACGGACAGAGGGACGGACGGACGGACCCTTTTGGTACGGAACCCTAAAAACGTTGTTTAAAAATGTGTCTTTTAAAAACGTTGTTTAAAAATGTGTCTTGAAGACAAGTGTAAAGTGGTACCCGCGACTACGTGTACGTAGAACCGCGGCTGAAGGCGTAACATTCAGACAGAAAGACAGATATACATAAAATATGTAGGTATATAAATTATAACCTATATGCTATATGTTATATTCTGATGTATAAGCTATATTATTGTAGTTTCATTAAAATTCATCCAGTAGTATTTGCGTGAAAGAGTAACAAACATCCATCCATACATACAAATTTTCGCGTTTATAATATTAGTAAGGATTTGATTTTTAGCACCCCTTAAAAATTGTTAGAGAAAGTACGAAAAGATTGTCGCCGCTGTGGGAATCCAACCCACGTCTTCGGCATTCGCGGCCTGACGCTTTAGCCACTAAGCTAAACGGCTGATTCCACACCGACGAAAGCAGCATTTGAAGCAATGCTAAAACAATGTAGATTAAATACATTGATTTTCACTGTCAATTACAAGCAAAATTAAACGTGATATTATGATCCATGAAACGGTTTTATTTACAACTTTTATAGAAATCCAACTTGTTATTAAGTTTTATAATAACAGCTATGTTATTTGAGTAAGTGTTTTGAAAGTAGGAAGTGAGGATTCGTTGATGTTGAATCATTAAAATTTCAAGAGCAGGCGAAATATAAAATGCGTTTAATCAAAAGAAATATTTTATTCATAACAAACAATATGCACGTTGTCCCCAAAGTTAATAATAATAAAAATACAAAGTCACTCGCTACATTTTATAGCAAAAGCTCCAATAAACGGCACAAAACATTTATTGACAAAAAGATTGGTCATGTTAAGTGTAAAATTATACACTTTATAATGGTTCATAAAACACTGCATACAATATATTTAGTACAATGTGTATACAACACATTGTACCTACTAAGTTTTCATTTTTGTTACAATGTTTTGACTATCATATTATAAATAAGACATTCTATCGCAGCTATCTATAAATGCGAAAATAATTAATTGCATGCTAAAGTATGTTATCAGAATAAGTGTCGACCGAGAACTGAACCTTGAACCATGTCTCGGCTTCGACCGTGCCAAGAACCATAGATAGATTGTATACAATTAGTAAGAATGTATCATAGTGAGAAAATATGTCGTTTGTATTATTAATTAAGAACTTTAATAATTAAAAAAAAACAATAATAAAACGGAAACAACGCAATAATAATAACATAGTTATTTTGAAGGCAGAAGTAATATAATCATATGAAACCAATAGGATCAGTTCCAAGATACAGCCACTCCACAAAACTCTCTAGGACTGCATTTAAACATTAACAAAGGAACATCCATATTTTTATCAAATTAACTAGTACATAAGTTATAATACTTGTTTAAAATGCTTACGTCACTACTTACACTAAAATTTTCTAACAAGGCACCTAAAATTTTTGAGAAAAGTGTTTGCTGTCATTTATAACCAAGTAGGTACATACTTTTTTTTATATTTATGCAAAATACATTAAATCATTTTGCGTCGAATCAAACAAGTTCTAATCAGTAGCAATCAGTGTAACTTTTCAATTAAGATTTCCGCTATATTCGAGTGAGATTGCCCGTTGAGTATGTAGTGCAGATACGTCTTGTGGGTGAAAACTCACTGAGAGTTCGATTCCCTCTCGCGCAGCCTCTGAGCGGCTTGCAGGGTGTTCTGCATCAGCATTGCTACCGTCATCGGTCCCACACCACCCGGCACCGGCGTAATAGCCCCCGCTATTTTACTCACCTCTGGGCAAATAAAAAAAAACTTACATTGAATGCAATCGATAACCGTTATTACTTGAAAATATAGGCAAATGTCAAAAAAGTTGTTATTGCCACGGTAATAACGTAGTACTAATTTCATTGTATCGCTTTTTAGGATCGTTAAAGGTTTACTCTCATTTTTTTTTCCAAACGCGCCAAAAAAATTATAACTTCCAAAAATATATATGTACAAATACATACATTGATATTGCCTTTATAAACTTTTGCACGTAAGTACAAAATATCCACAGTAAAATAGACATGTATTAACGTTTTTTTTTTCTTATACCGAACGATCCAACTAACTTATGGAGGAAACTTGCGTTTTTACCACTAGGTATTACAAAGATTAAGTTTCGTCAGATATGAAATCTCGAAAAAGTGGGCAAATAAATAGCTACTGCGGTTCATATAACAGGCGAGCAAGAAATGGAGAAATTGAAAAGAAAACAGTTTCTTACCGTCATAGTCGACGTCTCCCACCAGCCTAGTCTTCCCTTGCTCGTCGGTGACCCTCGTAATGCCGACGTCTATCACCGTTGCGCCGGGCTTCACCATGTTGGCTTTTATCAACTTAGGTACCCCTAAAAGCAAAACATAACATGGCAAATAATCGACATATAGCTTGCCATCCAGAAGAGCAGCTAGTGATCACGGACTGTAAGTTTTCGATTTTTGATATCTGCATCCCTCTTTCCACTACCACGTGTAACCATCTGTAATACGTTGGTACTGCTCTTTCCTCTATCTATTATACACCGTGTCTTTACAATCGCTACAATAAATGAACACACATATAGGTGATAACTTTTTAAAATTGTATTAAACATTTACATTCTTTAAACATCAATATTTACAGAGTTATTAAATTTTCCAAAACAAAGAATTTTAGAACAACCCTTACCTATAAAACTATAACGTAAAGTTCCTTTGTAAAGGTCACAAAGGATATGAAAGGGTTGAATGAATTTAAAAGAGACAAAACATACTGTTAGAAGGAGGAATACGACGCTGTGGCGCGAGTTGTATAGGATGTTACAAATTTTGTTTCTTTTTTACTTAATTAGTTTGTTTGAAAAATATATTTTTTTTAATTATGGATTTTGCTTAACGTTAACATTTTTTTTGATTATTGGCATGTAGCGTTAGACGTGTGTTCATTTATTGTCGCGATGGTAACGACACGCTGTATATGTTACGCTTTAGAAGTACTGTTTAGTATAAATTAGCAACTGTTTTAACCACAATAATGAAATTAAAGGGCAGGTGGCAAACGATATTTCCTGTGGAAGACCACGCAGCAGTCAATGCCAGCCGCGGCCTCACAGAAGAATGGCGTGAAGTGGAAGTATTACAGTTTTTCATTATTTCTGACGAGAGAGGTAAGCGGGGCCCCATTTTTTGAAAGCTCTCCAACGCATCTGCAACACCTCTGGTGTCGTAGATGTCCATGGGTGATTTTTAGTATGTTTAACTATGTTTTTCTATGCTTACTGTGAGGGGAATACGTTCACTTATATCTAAAACACCGCACACCTATTGAAAATAAGAGACCTGAAACGTTCAAACGGAGATCGAAAATGGAGCTTTCCAGGAATCTATTGGTAGTAGGGCCGCGCATGTCTTCGCTGTTGCATGATGATGATGTACGAAGCTGGCGCGAGGCCTGCTTTTATTCGAGTGTCGGGGCATCCCCCATGCCTCGGATATAATCTCGACCAGCGAAGGCTGGTCGGTGGTAAGGATGACCAACGGCCATCCCTAACTCTGACCGCGGTAGCGGCACTGGCGGGTGTACAGCGTTACACGCGGTGTGTAACGCGTGGACGACATCGTCTTCTCAACGGCGGAAGTGCGGTCGGGTCCGGCTCCCCAGTGGCCTGCGACCGCAGTAGCTCTCGTGGGAGCGGGCGCCCGTCAGGAGGACGGGCGTGGAGGGGTGCGATGTTCTGCAGGTGTGGGTGTGGCCCGTTGTCGGCCCTGTCGTACATGCGACGGGCCGTCCGGACCACAAACTCCTCGATGGATTCCATCCTCAGGTCTCGAGCTATTACGTCGTTCCTGACGTAACGCCCGGCCCCCACGATCACTCGAAGGGCGAGGTTCTGCTGCGCCTGGAGCCTGCGCCTTTGCGAGGCGGAGATCAGACCGTACCACGCCGAAGCGGCGTAGGTCAAGCGCGAACGGACGTACGTTTTGTAAACGCCGATCTTGGTCTTGATAGGTAGCCTGGACGCCAGGATAGGGTACAGCATGGCTCGTGCTGCTCTGGCTTGTCGGACGGCGTGTCCGACCTGGGGAGCCATGCACAGCGAGCGGTCTATCCGGCATCCAAGGTACCTAATGGTGTTCGTGTTGGTAATCGCTTGACCTCGCAGCTCAAGCGTGGGTTGGTTTTTGATGCGGCGGATGTATATGGCGGATGTCTTGTCAACGTTGACAGACATCCGCCACTTATCCAGCCACTGGGGCAGCAGGTCCAATTAGCACTGCATTTTCCTCGCCGCAATCGCCGCGACGTGAGAAGACGTGAAGAACGCACTGTCGTCCGCGTACAGGGCCAACAGTACGTCTTCATCCCAGTCGGAGGCGTTCTGCTCCAGCAGCTTATGTAGCAGGCCCTCGTGCCACACTCTGTCGAAGGCCTTCTCCATATCGAGAAGGACCCCCAGACAGATGCGGCCCCGGTTGTACTGGGCCGCAAGATAGTGCAGCACACGGGCCAGCTGCGCCGTGGTGGAATGGCCGCTGCGGAAACCGAACTGTTCCCTGCGTAGCTCGATGCAGGGAACTATTCTCCGCAGCAGCAACCGTTCAAAAAGTTTAGCTACGTGCGGCAGTAGCGTGATCGGTCGGTAGCTCCCCGGAAGTCGTCGGTCCTTGCCCGGTTTCGGCAGGACGATGATCTTGCCGGTTTTCCACTCAGAGGGGAAGTGCGCCGTGCGCAGTACACCATTGTACAGGCACCGGCTCCGACAGGAACGCCTGTATGTGCCGCTCCACTTCCTGGTGGAACGCAATGGCGCCTGGGGCCGATGTGTTGGCCACAAATTGCCCTTCTAGGTGCTCTGCCAGTATGTCAGCCCTGTCTTGGGCTGCAACGTGCTTACGCCTGTCACTCCCCACGAGTGGACAGATGGGTTGTGGCGTTCGGCTGAGCTGCCGGTTAAGGTGGTGAAGGGAGGTCTGCGACTCGGAGGCCTGCTCTATGCGGCGCTCCCACCCCTCACCCCTGTGCGCCTTGATGGCTGCCGACAGCTCATCCTTGACCCGATTTAGGCGTGTCTTCACTCGTGGGCAGCGGGTGCGTGCCCACAGCCTCCTGAGCTCCCTCTTCTCATGCAGCCGATCGAGGAGCCTACACGGGAGTGTGTCTTTTCGGTGCACCTGTGGCACCGCCTTGGTCGCCGCGCGCAATTCTTCCTGTATTTTACAGGAGATTTTGCGCGCGGGCTGTTCCACGTCCTCCGCGGTTGAGATGGGTGCACCGAAACTGAAGTCGGACATAGCTCTCGAATAGGCGCCCCAATCAGTCCTGTACCTAGGGCCTCTGGGAGCCAGTGAGTCCGCAGCCAGACTCAGCACGATGAGCACAGGGAGGTGCTGCGTGTCCGCATCATACAGCACCTCTACCTGGACAGGGCATGGCACTTTGTGGCAGAGCACGATGTCCAGGACATCCGGAACTTGGTGTTCGTCGGCGGGTACGTGTGGGGGCTCGTCGGGGCCCAACACTTCGTAACCCGCCTCTTCTGCGTACTCGTATAGACTCCTGCCAGCGGGTGACACGACTCGCGATCCCCACGATGGATGTTTTGCGTTGAAGTCCCCCGCTATAAAAATATTCCGGATGTCTCTGGCATTGAAGGGCGAGCTGGGCGGGCGATACGCAGCGAACATGCGTATCTCTTTCCCGCCCGCGTGGAGGCATACGCCTATGGAGCGCGTGCTTACGAAGCTACGCAGCTCCTCTTCGTCGTGTACTAGGTCCCGTCTTACCAGCACGGCCGTGCCTCTGTAGGCATAGCCGTGGTCGGGGGAGATCTCGCTGTTGCACGAATGGTCATGTCCGTCCGGGTGTGTACCACTACCTTACAGAAGACCAGCGTGAAATGGAAGTGTTACACATCTGCCTTACGTCAGTTGAGGGAGGTAGCCGGGTCGCACTTTATTAAAAGGTGAAAACGTATCTGCAACCCTACGGTGATTGTTATCACTTAGCATCTAGGGTGAACAGCCAGATCGTTTGCCACCTTCTCCTTTAAAAAAATCTAGTACATTAAACTTATTTGTACCCTCTTTCTCTATGGTAAATGGCTGCCCCCATGGGCTCATAGTATGCGTGACTTCTCATTGTGGTAGTCAACAGTGAACTGATTACCCGAAGGCAAATAGTTCGCCTCATCACTTACTGTTGACCTATCTTGCCTACGTCACTCACCCGTCGCGGTGACAATGATGTCGGCGCTGCGGCAGAACACCTCCAGCTGCTCTGGGGGCGTGTAACGGTGGCAGACGGTCACCGTCGCGTCCATACCCAGGCCGCTGTCGTGGTGACCGTCGCTGTGGAGCATCATCGCGATCGGCATGCCCACGTTCTTGGAGCGGCCTACCACGACGGCGTTCCGGCCGAAGGTCTCCACTTTGTGTCTGAGCCGACCGTTCAAAAGCGACGGAATGTTTTATAATTTTTAACAAAAAAAAAACCGACTGTCAAACAGGAGACTAAAAAACATTGTTAAAATCTATAACATTTGAGGATTGCCCTCGATTTCTCTCGAATGTCATCATCAGATCCGGGTTTCCTTACCATGGTACTACCCTTGGGATATCTCATTTCCAACAAAAAAAAGAATCACCAAAATCGGTTCATAAGTTAATTTAACAAAGCTTATCAACTAAATACATATAGGAACAACAATAAATGACGAAGTTATCCGCGAACAGACATAAAAAAAATTTAAATATACATATAAGGTCGAATTGAGAAACCTCCTTCTTTTTTGAAGTCGGTTAACAAAATACACAGCAGTTGTACCCGCCCCGGCTTCGCACGGGTGCAATGTTAAATGTTTGTTTTCGACATCGCATTAGAGACCTCTAAAATTATCAGTGTTTCTCCACTATATTATGCATGAATTATACATATTATAAACCTTCCTCTCGATTCACTATCGTTTAAAGACAACCGCAAAATCCGTTACGTAGTTTTAAAGATCTAAGCATGTATAGAGACAAACAGACAGAGCGAAGACTTTGTTTTATACTTTGTAGAATTTTATAAACTGTTTTGTCAAGAGTGAAACCATTAATTTATTATATTTGATACTAGCTGTGCCCGCGACTTCGTCCGCGTGGAATTTAAAATAAAAAAAAAAATCTAAAATAAAAGTAGCCTAAGTTACTCCTTATTACATCAGCTATCTGCCAGTGAAAGTCCCGTCCAAATCGGTCCAGCCGTTTCAGAGATTAGCCGGAACAAACAGACAGATAGACAGACTAAAATTTATTATGTATAAATGTTATTTTGGTATATGTACCGTGTATACATCCATATGCATTTAGTTAAAAGCGGTTATTTTAATATTACAAACACACACTCCAAACTTATTTGTACCTTCTTTCTTTGTTTGCCACGAAAACGTCCCAATTGGGAATTTTCGTGTAGGAGTATTTATTAGCTCTGCTACCAGTGTGTATCTAGTGTATCACTAGTATTTAATAACTAAGATAATCAACAATGTCCTTAAATTCAAGTCCCAAGTTAATATTTTAAAGTAAATGATGACTCCTTGGCGCAGTGGCCAAGGTATCGGCTGCGGCGTCGGCGGTCGTGGATTCGATTCCCACACGGGAGAACTGTTTGTGTTATCCTAAAGTAATGTTTTTTTTTTCAAAAAGAAAAAATATATTCTATCATACATGTGAAAAAAAAAAATATTGAACAGTATTTAAACTTCAATTCTTAAATATTAAAAATTTAACATTTTCATTTATTCCATACAAGCCAATAAAGGTTGTCGGCAAACCATTGACTAGAGATATGAACATTTCAACATATTGCTTTATTGGGTGCTCACAAAATAGGTCAACTGGAGATCTGTTTTATAAGAGCTTGTGTCATATTTGAAATGTAGAACGGTTATGGATTAAACATTATCTGACTCTACATATTCGAATGTTATTTACATAAAACTAAATCAACTGCATGGGCCACTTTTAAACTTAAAATTATTAAGAATTGACCTTAATTTTGGTATAGTCTGTAAAAATTAGTTAATAGTTGGAAACATTACAAATTATTTATTTACCTAACTAATTACCTAATTATTAATTTAACTATCAATTTTCTTAAATCATTTGTAAAGTAAAAGAAAAAAGTTTTCTTTCTGTGATGGAAGAGAGATTTTGCATTATAACACTCAAAGAAACATACCGCTTCAAAATTTCTATAACAGCCAATGCTGTTGCCGGCACCAGTGTTGGCATATCAAGGCACAGCTGACCAACATTAACTATGTGAAACCCATCGACGTCTTTCTCAGGAGCCACTGTGTTGCACACTTTTCTTTCGTCCATTGTACCCGGCAAAGGCAGTTGAACTAATATACCATCAACTCTATCGTCAGTATTTAGGGAGTTGATTGCATTTATGAGATCCTCTTCACTTAAGGTTGCATCATATTTGATTGTTCTAGCATTAATGCCGACATCTATTGCCGCTTGAATTTTGTTTCTCACATATGTGTGACTTGCCGGATCGTCACCAACGATTATGCAGCAAAGGGCAGGTGCTCTGTGTCCCAGATTAACAAAGCTGTGTATTTTCGTTCTTAACTCATCTTTGATTTCCTTGGCAAAGGGCCTTTCCGTCAATGATTCGGGCCATAATCCTGTTCAAAGAATAAAATAAAATACAAAAAAAAATTTTGTAATAACAATTCATAATTGTGGATTGGAAAGCAATTCACTAATATGTGTTCACATATGTAAGAGTCGGTCAGCCACAGCAATGATATCTAAGTAAATAATATGATAAGATTTATTAAATATTATATATATGTAAAGGTTTGTGTGCACATAATAAGGTTTAAGGTTTAATTAAGAAAATTATTAATTGAATAAAAAGGAAAAATACAAAAGAATAAAGGATAGTTAAACTACAACACATAAGAAACCCAAACTTTTAGCTAGAGTAAATTACCTGGCTGCCCCCATGGAGTCATAGTATGTGTGACTTCTCATTGTGGTAGTCAATAGTGAACTGATTACCCGAAGGCAAATAGTTTGCCTCATCACTTACTGTTGACGTACACAGGTCATTAGATCACATCTGTTTCATACTACGAAACAAAGTTTTTACGAAATTGATAAGACACAGTAATACATTCTGTACACAACTGGATATATCTGCTAATTTACAGTTATAAGGTGTTAAATGAGGACAAATTTATGCCAACAGATAAAAAGGTTAAGAAATATCATTATGAATACCCTAAGATTGGATGAATCTGGTTGAAACTGCAAGAAAATTTTATAGCTTTTCATATTGGGTCATAAACATATCTATAAAATAAAACAAGTGTTCATAATAATACTATTAATTATTGATAATATTTTATTTATATACATTATATCACATAATAAATACTATATTATATAAATTCTATACTATTATAAACATAGAAAAATGTATTTAATACTGGAATCATATTTAATTAGTTTTTTATTAAATGTGAAAAATTGTAATACAATAAAAATACATCCTACACAATAAATAGCTCAACAGTTTATATCATTATAATTTACAGGTCTATATTGTCCTAAAAAATATCAGAACATAGGTTTACTGTGGTTGTAAGAATAATTTGTTAAAATAAGTTTGTAGTAAAAAGTTGTAAGTTCGGTCAAATAGCATCAGATCCATCAAACATTATAAGATTTAATACACAAATGGACTGCTATATAAAACCAAAGCCCATGAAAGAAATAGTTTAATAGATGAATTCTCAGAACTTTCACTCATAACTTTCATCAAAAATTACCTACTGGGAATAATATGAGAAAGATCGGAATATCAGACATCAAATATTATTGAATCGTTCAAATATTTTAAATGACAATATATCAGTGTTTTACTGAAAATATTTGCCTTCCTGCTCAGTATTAGATTTTAAATGAAAACCGATGCATAGTTTTCAGGCAAGACTTAATAATTAATTATAAACGTAAATCGTGGTGTATTATTCAGTTGTAAATCTTAACAAGAAATTATTTACTTATTATTGAAAAATCATTACTATGTGCAAAACATTTTTGTTTCATAACAGGAACTTACGTCGAAAATATCGATAAAGATAGAATTGTAAAAAATTATACAGGAAGATCACCTACGATTAGTAACCAAACAAACACTTATTTAAAAAAAATTTCATAGTTATGTATAATAAATTTCGAACTTACTTCTTGTTTCAGAATAATATTCAAATAAAATAATTTACGTAAAACACCGAACATTAAGTGTTAACGACAAACTTAAATATAATAAAAGTTGCTTAGAAACTAGGTTACTTATGACAATCCACGATTTGCTGACATGACATTGACATTAGCAGCGATAGGTACTAAAATAACCTGTTGAAATGCGAGCTATCTAAGGTGTTAGGTTTTTTGTACCTACATTCCAGGCATAGTATAAAATAATATTTAAGTTTTCCCTGCGATTGTTTTTATATAAAACGTATTGTAAGAGATATTATTCCGCATGGAAACATTGCACTATTTACGTATGAACATGGATGTGGGGATAGCACTGATTGAATGGAATCTAATTTAAATAAGATAGCAAAAGTCGAATGTCGTAGACAGTTTTTTGTTATTTGTAATTACAAAAATAGATATGTGTTTGTTTTACACGAATGGTGTCAGCATTCCGTCGGTGCACCTTCGCCGTGCTGAGTCTGCAGTAATGGTGGTTATGACGTGCTAACTCCTCCCTCCTTAAGATAGAAGCGAGAGTAAGAGCTTCTAGCAGCGTCCTCGCAGCTGTTGCTATCCTGCGGTAGTCTATTAGTTTTCCACTTGTACAGCTTCCAGATGGCCGTTACACTCAGCAGCCCGTATAATATTAAAGTTGTCCAGCTGGGGGTTGCCATCAGGATTGTCCAGCTGGATTCGTCTTGTAGGACTATGACATCTATCTTGTTGATGAGTTTGTGGATACTGTCTAAAGAGATATTCTCTTGATGTATTTCAAACTTGATATGTTCTAGCGTGATTTGATGTGCCTCAGGAAGGGGGATGATTTCGTCGGTGAAGACTGTCCTCAGGTGGGTCTGTAGTTCAGGATATGCATCCGGCAATCTTCAGTCAGTGTGACTATGAACTTTCCTTTCGCCTTTTTGTAGTCTGTCTTCGTGCCACATTGAGTTTTGATAATTTCGTCACCTTGTACGATCAGTATCCAGCTGTTATCACGGATTTTCTGGATTTTTCCTTTAGTCAGGTGCAGCTTGGCGTACGTGCAATTGGCTTTTTGACGTTGGACCAGCGACGCTATGCAGTCTTCTGTGTTTTCCATTCTTCTGACTTCCAGGGATTTGCAGAGATGAGGGTCATCGGTGATTGTTTGGCAGTCCTCTTCCTCGATGTGGGCGTACTCATCTCTACCAAGTGCAAGGTATTTGGACTATTTATATTATAATAAGGTTGTTTCGGTCAGGGATGGAGTAAAGGTGAATAAAATCGCATACATCCTAATTGGGCGAACGTTACGGCATCTTCCAAAGTCATTAACTTTTCTAAAATTATTTGTAAACTTTGTAATTATTTGTAAAGTATAATGTAAACTGTCTCTAATTCCATTAGAGTTTTGCGTTATATTTTGCAATATCTTAACTACATATTTGTTATTTTCCTCTAGTTTGCTTATTTGACTGCCAAATTCATTGATCATACTTTTAGCTAATATTAAAGATTTCTTTTGTGAATTTTGAACTCTATTAACGTTATTATTTATATCAGAAATTTCTTTCTCAAATTCAACAGCATCGTCGTTATCTAAGTTACCGGTTATTACCTTTACGATTGTTTCTAATCCGTTTATTATTCCGCGTTTTACTCTAACTGGGGGAATTAAATATGTTAACTTCTTATTTATTAAAATCAAAATCAAAAATATGTTTATTCAAATAGACGCTTGCGCGCTCTTATGAATCGTCAAATTTTACATCAAAGATTATGTATATAGGTTCGTAAGGTACCACCGGTTCGGAAAGCAGTTTAAAATAACTTATAAACTTATAATATATAATATTTGATCCTCGTAGGACTTATATCTATGACTAAATATTAGGTATTGGGCAAATAGGTATTTTCAGCATCTTTAGTGCTTGCATATAATGCCATTTCCTCCATTCTAATTTATGCTAACTTTATATATGTTATGTTATAAACACAAGCTAGGCTAAAGCAGTCTGTTTGTCTAAGTAACTGTTTGAGTAATAATATGCTATTATCGTTGAGGGTCCTGGAACAGAATGAGGCCTACGTGGTAGCTTGAAGTGGACTCTTATAGACTTTGAAATTGAGTGACTTCCTATGATCTCTGCGATATTATTGGGGTGTAGATGGATTACCTTATAAGGGCCTTTGAAGACAGGCTTCGTTTTATCCCTCCGCGCTGTCTTTACCTGCTTATAAAATATTTCACCTACCTTGAAAGATACTTCTTCAGCATCGCGGTTTCTTCTCGCGATAACCTGTTCTATGTTACCAGACATGTAAGCTGCAACACACTCCTGTATCGCTTCTGCTCTTATTCGGTGATTGAGTACATAATCCTGGTAGAATTCTTTCGGGTTAAACATTTCTAAGGTATTTCGAGATGCTGTATGATCAAATAGCAGTTTATGTGGTTTATAGCCTGTTGCGGAATGTATCGCGTTATCATATCCTATGATCGCGTATTTCATAATGTGTTGAATGGGGTCGACTTTGTTATTCTTTGTATATAATTTAATTCACAACTACTATTTCTATTTAAATTTTCAGAGTAAATATCTAATCTAATAGGGGCTTTGTTTGGGATATATTTTTTATCAGCGTTTAAGTTAATACCAGATGTTCTAAACGTCCCGTTCTTAACGTTAACTATCGCTGCGGGTGATTTTAAACCGTCAGACCAATAGAAATCGTCATGTAAGTACTGTCCGTCCATGTAGTGCGTCTTGAATGTCATTAACTTTTCGCATCTAGGTTCTACTTTAAGCTTTTGGAATGGGTAACTAAAATATATGGGTATGTCCGCTGTAAAGGTGTGTAACGAGTTATTATTTAGATCAATGTTACTTTTTAATTTTCGCAACAAGTCAAATCCGATTAGACCTTTGTATTTTCGACCGAAATCAAAAATTAAAAATTTGTGCGTAATATTGCTATTAAACGCGGGTGGTAATGGCAAATAGACCACATGATTATGGCGCGAAACGCTATGGGCCGGAGATATTTCAAATGGTACATAATCGACACACTGTTCAAAAATAGTAACGCGAATGACATTGGGTGAAATAGTAGAGCGACTTGCTCCAGTATCGATTAAAAACTTACCTTGAAATTCAGGTAGCTCGATGTAGGGGAGGTGGTCTTTGTCTTGGAGGTTGATCTCTACTAGCTCTCGTCGTACTGAGTCTCCTCCAAACGAAAATCCTGGTTGGGGTCAAGCTCGTTGCAGTACGCGTCAGTATCGAAGCCATCGCTGTCGACTGGTCGGTACTACTGTTATGGTACTCGCCTTCATTGTCGTATGGTTGCATATGGTTATTCATGTGACTGGGAGTGTAAAAAAGCTCCACGGCGGCGAACTGCGGTCGAGGACTTTTGGGGGTTAACCTGTCGTTTAGGGATATTTGGTTGGTTCCTAAAATTACTGCTTCTGATGTTGCCTGAGCCACCTGTTCGAAAGATACCTGGTGTTGGTCGTGTTTGTCAGGGTTACAATGGCTGCACCCACTGTTCTCGTTGTTCGGGGGCTGCACTACTGTTGGGGATGAAAGGGTGTTGTGGGATATGAAGCCGTAAATTGGTTGGTGTCATGTAAGGGTTACTTAAATTGCAAAATGGGTAATTAACTTTCAAATTCGTTAACTCCTTCGGCTTAGCTCGAGATGTTGAAGGCGTGTTAAAATTAGTGGCTCTATTGTATGCAAGCCTAGCCTCTTCCTGCCTA